ATTACAGTACCCTTCCATTATAACCTTAATGTAACATAAAGGTGAATTTATTTTCTGTAGCTGACGACGTAATGTGGCTCTAATAGAAGTCGATGTGTGACAAAGTTTTGTGTACCATCACGTATGTTTCTTCATTCCCTTCTTGCACTCTGCCTCTCCCTCCATGTACGCCACCCAGCTGACATTATGTTTAAATAGAGTTTCAATCTGACATGTTTGAAAAATGCTGGACAAGTGGGGTAAGGGAAGAAATGAGCAAAATGGGTTCCTGAAAAGTGCTGGAAAAGTTTTGAATCTTTGTCCATGAAAATATTTTGGAACCTGAATAACCAAAAAGGCTTGATGCAGAATATCTGAACAGAATATGCTGTTTACATGACCTGCATCTGCATATTCAGAATAATGGAATATAAGCATGCAGGCACGTGCACAAACAGACCCAGGTGCTGCTCAGGCAACTGCCCTTTTAGGCCTCTGACTACATAGGTGCCATTTTGCAAGACGTTTTTTTTTTCTCATTTCTTTTTCTTATTTTATATTTTATTTTGCGTTTGGTCCTCGGCATCAGTTCTCAGTTAAAAGCGTGTTGCGTTCAGGTTTTAATTCTTTGAGACTGTAAAAAGTAAAATTTGTGCTGCTGTATCTAACTTAATTTTCTTATTCATAATAACTAGTCCATACCCACGTGCAGTTTCACATGGTGTGTGTTTGGGATACAGGTCATAGGAAATTGCAGATTGAATAGTCAACTGAACCCATTAAGAAGAGCAATGTATTCAGACAGAGTGTTTGTGAATTTGACAGTACGATTGCTTCATTGAAAGTACAGTAGTACCATTGCCAATAGTGGGATAGTTAGTGGGCTAAAACTGTACATTAGTAGTTGAGGTAGCACGTTGAAAGGCAGATAGTTAAAGTCATTGCCTTATAGAAGCTCAGTTTTAGTAAGTTTTCCAACTTTTGCCAAGAGGGAACTTTAGATATTGGTCCCTAGATTATGTTCACCCAGTTTCATGCAGATCGCTCAAACTTCCTAGGAAGAGATCCATTTGAAGTGTTTTTCAAAAAATTCAAAATGGCGGAAAATCTATATAAGCGGAAGTTATGGGTTCTTGAGGCAAATGTGTTCCTCATGAGGAGAGGCATCTCTGTGCAAAGTTTCATGTCTCTACGACATACGGGGCATGAGATATGCCCATTCAAAGTTTGACATTTCAGTGGGTTGCTATAGCGCCCCCCTTTGGCCAATTGATGTAATATTGCTTCATTGGCATCCTCCCATGACCCTCTACCACTGTGCCAAATTTCACATGGATTGACCAAGTCAGTGAGGAGACAAACGTGGAACAGAGACGCAGACACAGATTATATAGTGAGATAAGGAGTCTGCCCTTTTTCTTGACTTGAGCTCCACCTCCACAAAATGTTGGCGCTAACATGGGGCTGTTAGTGTGCATGATAATGTAGGTGATGCCTCATTACAGGGGTCAGTAACCTTTACTATCAAAAAAGCTCATTTTGCCCCCAAACAAACAAAATTATGAATTAATGTGTTAAAATAAAAGATAAAGTATCCAATTCTCACACGACAACAGAAAGTTTGCTATTGTTGCCTGATTAATGACCTGAACAGACCAAATTGATGTCTGCAACCTGACTCCTTAACTAATTGTTTCAATACTAGTAATGTTTGCTGAGACAAATATGTTTTTGTCAACCCTGACATTGTTTCTACATTCACCGTGAGAGCTGCTGCAAACAGCTAAAGTCTCCTGAACTGGATCAGCCTGTTGGGTGTTCTGTGCCTCATCCAAGGACACCTCCCTGACCCCTGCAGGCCTCCGCTGCCTCAGGCAGTTATACAGAGGAACATCTAAAGCATTTAAAAATCTGTTAATCTGTTATCTCTTCTAATTAACCAACCCAGGGGTCTGCAACCTTTATTAAAAGAGACATTTTAGACAAAACAGAAAGAGAGAGAAAAGATGCCTGGAGCCACTAAGACATACTTGAGCCTTATAATGAAGGTAACAGAGTTTAAGTCTGAATTAACCAACAGGTCTAAATGAGCATTTATTAATATGTTTTAACACAGCGTGGCCACTCTGTTGTGGCTTCGTATGATTATTTGGCTCTTTAACTTTGCAGTGGTGCTGGTGAGAGCACATTAATCTGTCCACGCACCATTAAATTCTCATTTATTTCCCAATTTTGGATTCAGAATTTATCACTAGTTTAACCAGGGAGACTCAGACCAGCCACAGATGTTGAGGTTTGGCTACATTTAGAGGAGCAGGCACCAGGACGCACACTGACGAACCACATGTTAGTTGATGAAATGTTAAGACAGTTTTTTTATTCAGTGTAAAGGCTGCACACTTTACTATTTGGAGAATTTAAGAATCTCTTTCGGCCTTCATCAGTGATGAATGAAAAGCGGTATGTTGCTGACCCCTGTGTGACCCTACAGAGACACCTGTGAAACCTAAATGTAGCACAACCAGCTCCCTGCTGTCTCTGATAGTGTTAACAAAAGGCAGTGATTATATCAGCGTCATCATGTGACGATCATCTTCTCTAAATCAAACTAACAAAGGAATAAAAGTTTCTCTGATTCAGCTCCGACTGAAGTTTAAACTGGTCTTGATTTGAAAAGAAGGAAACAGCTGACAGAAAACTGATATTCTGTCAATTAAAAGTCTTGTTGGTGACACGTGTCAACATGTGATGCAGCAGGACACAGCGTGGAGACGATGGACAGACTGACACACACTCTTAGCACGCACCATGAGGCAGTATTGGCATGTTGTGACGTGTATCTCCAGTCGGGGATCAATGAGATGCGTACCACCCCAGTCTGGTGAAACTGGTGTGAGTCAAAGCTTAGCTGACATGGACAGAGAGGAAAAAGGGAAGTGGAGAGAGTTTCCTCTAATGGACGTCATGTGGCCGAAACTGAGACTCTAGAGTTTATAGAGAGGAGCTTTGTCCCAACAAATCACCGTCACACAGGCCAGATTAAAACTGGAATGTAGGGATTCCTGTTGTCTTTTTTTCACATGTAGAGTTATATATACCACTTTCACTAAGCTGCCAGTTTATTAGGTACACCTAGGTAGACCTCTTGTATTAAACAGTCTAACATCTCTACACACTACATCCTCCAGAATGATCAAACAGCCGAATCAACATCTTGAAAACAGTTTTTAAAAAACTAAAACAATAAAACCTTGATGAAGAAATGATTTATCGTTGAAAAGGCTGTTGGTTGCTGACAGGTGGCTAAATGAGACCACAGATGGTCATGGAGCCAAACACAGCTTTACAGTCACGACTGTGATGGAGTTTGATTATTGCCTAACGTTAACTTTTTACTTCTGCAGATTCCTACGTTTTTCAGACAAGATGGCGGTGGGCTCAGACGTAGCGGCTGAGAGCTCCCGTAAACTAAACTGTGTTTTGTTGTTGTTTTTGATCGTACTTTGGGAATTCCAGCTGAGTACATCAAACCTGATCCAATCCACCCGACTGTCACTGATACACATCAGGGCAACATAACAACACTTAGTGTTCATTTGTGAACATTATCTTACTGAACAAAAATGTGATCATCTGTAGCCCTTTTTAGACAGGAGTTGTGTCAATTTGCAGGAAAGCCCAATCAGTCTTTTTTCAGCATTGGCAGTATAAAAACAAAATCGGGGAGTGCAGCAAAATGCCGCCTACCTACTTTTGTTTATACAGAATGTGCCTTTTTCGGGGCAATGGGGGGCGTGAGCAAGTAACAAAACGTGTAGCTCAGCGTGTGACGTAAACAGTGACGTGGGAGGGAAGCCGCGGCTGGTCAGTCCTTCAGCAATTCTCTCAGTGTCTGTCAGGTTTGTGTTTCCCTCTTGCTACTAGCTGCTCGCTAATTCCTGCTATCAGCTGTTTCCTGTTTATCCACCGCCAGTGGCTCGCACGTGCGGCGTCATCAACAGCCCCTCCCACAAGTCTTCAACAGCTCCTCCTGTTGCAGAAGGCCGCCTCGGTCTGTTTAAACTAAAAGGGTTCCACCAATATGTCTACCCTACGAGGCGGAAAATTGGGCACCTCGGATCAACTCGCCAATCCAGCTCTGTGTGTCTAAACTCTCGCAGCTTGCCGGCAAAACGGCCCAACATTCGCCGAAAACTTTGACAAAAGGGCTATTAGTTTGCCACAGAGCTTAATTTCTGCAATAATCCAAAATCCAATGGAAAAACTCCTGTTGGCTTTTTGTTGAGGGAAACAGGGTGATGCTAACTTTGGCGTACAAAAACCATTCCTGCAGCTCTCCATCAGCCCCCTCACTTTACACCCCTGGCTCACAAATCTTTACAGGTGTGTAGTTGAGATTAAAATAAAGGTCGAGATTAAAGATGGATGTGGTCCGAGCAAGGAGGCCAAAAGTAGGGAGTAGGAAGCAGGGAAGGAGCCATTGTTCTCCACTCTACGCCCCTGATTCACATTTGTTTTAAGTTGTGGATAGGGTTGCAGTGTTGTACCGGTTTTAAGGTGTACTGTGATATAAAAGTTGACGGCTATCAGACCATGTACGTTTGCTTATTTATGATATTTACTGGACGTTGAATCTCTCCTTTATTTGAGTTATGTTCTAAGAGGAGACTTTTTACACAAACTTCCATCAACAAAATGTTTCATGATCCCGTCACAAGATGGTCTCTAGTTAGTTTATATAATTTTAAATTGAACATATTTGGGTTTTTGTTTGTTGGCAAAACAAGTAATTCGAAGCTGAAACCTTCTGCTTTGATAAAAAATACGTTCATTAAACTAAATATAAAACAAATAATATATTAATCAATGAAACAATCATCAGTGCCAGTCCTTCTTTGGAAGTGTTAATATTACTTTTGACTGGTAGAAAGCTTCCTGATATGGTCTTATCCTCCCTTCTTCTCTGCCTACCTAATTTTCCTCTCTTCCTCCCCTCCATCCCCCTCTCGTGTGTCCTCCAGGTTTGCGGGCGTCCCTCCTCCTCTCGGCGCTCTTCATGCTGCTCGGAGCGGCTCTGAGGAGCATCCCACTGACAGAACAGCCTCTCAGACGATGGTAAGACTCCTCTGTCAACATTATGGCAGCTGATGGTTCAAGGGGCCAAGTGTGCTGATGACTCTCTGAAAGGTTTTGGACAGGAGGCAGGAAGTGACTCGTGATCCTCAGTGCAGTCATAAGCCTCTCATCATTTCCATAATTTGATATATTAGGCAAACTTTTCTAACCAACTGCCAGGAATACTTCTGTACGTCACTTTATGGATAAAAAGAGCTGCTCGCCAAACGATCTCTCCTCGTCTGATGGGTTAGAGTGATGAATTGAGCCCAACGACAGAAAATTAATCAGTTATTTTGATATTTGATAAACCGTTTCAGACATTTTATGAGCAGAAATATCAATCATTCACTGGTTTTAGCTTCGTCTTTGTCATAATTAATGATAAACTGAATATTTTGGGGCTTTGAACTGTTACAGCTGGATAAAATATGACGTTTGAACATGTCACACAAACTAGAACAAGAATCTTTTATTATTTTCTGACATTTTACAGACAAAAGGACTAATTGATGAATTGAGAAATGTTTTGCAGAGTAATAGATATTGAAGATAACACACTCACACTGACAGTACTAATATGCTGCTCTCTAACAGTGGAAGGTAACATGGTCACCATCCTAGTTTAGCATGTTTACAAATTAACACCAAACACAAAGCACAGCTGAGGCAACGTCACTAGTTTTGCAGATATTTGCGCTGCCAAGATGGCGACAGCCAGAGGCAACTACTTTGAGCTTCAACCCGCTACTCAGAAACCAGTGGGTGACGTCACGGTGACTATGTCCATATTTTTAGTCTATGGTTTTGGCCTGTCAGCCCAGCACAGCAGGGATTTGTGTCTCCATGACAACAGGTCTACGTGTTGAAGGTGTGTCTGTAACTGATGACGGCTCATCTTGAGTGATGAGGTTTAAAAGCAGCGTGCTGATCCACGGCTAAAGTCCCTGTAACTGGTGCAGCAGATAAAAGAAGTTTACCTGTTGGAGGTGAGCTGTTTGTCTGCAACTCTTCATCATCATCATCATCATCATCTCACTGTGGCTGTTTCTGATTTCACGCTTCCTCCCTGCCGTATTATCAGACTTGTCTTTATTGAAGAAAAGCTGCTGACAAAGTTCTGCTAATTCAGTGATAAACACATTTCATTTCCTGTAGATTCTTCACAATAAAAGTCTCCTGTTATTTTGTAATGTAAAAACTTTTATTGTGAAGCAGCAAAATGAGGAAGTGTTGAGTTTTCGAGCAGAAACTTCACACAACTTCTGATACAGCTGACCGTGAACATGAAACAGTGAAATAAATCAGAGATCTAAAGTACAATCAGGACGCAGGAGAGAAACTAAACTCCAAACCACAGAGATTCAGTCAGAAGCTACAGACGTACTGAGAGCTGAACACACAGAGACTTTTAAAGACACCTGTCTCTCTGGTCTCCTGCAGACAGAGGGGAGGAGAGTCTGCAACACACACGCTTGTTTCAGGGGAAGAAGAGGGGTTGGCTGTGGTCAGCTAGATGTCTCCGCTACCCGCTTGAGGGGGTGGATGGCTTTTTGACTGACTCCGAAGAAGGGGCATCTCCATGGAACACTGAAGGACTCTAAACGTCTATTTTGACATGCATATTAATAAGTTAAATTTGGTCGTCTTAACATGTTGAATGTGAGTTAAGATGACAGAAAATGATCCAAGATCCTGTTCAATTTTCCTCTGAGTAGAGACCACGCCCCCAGGAAGTACACTGGACTTTGAAGCCAGTTTGACAAAGTGGCCAAACCCTGTAACTACAGCTGATATCACGGGATATCATTTGGCCTAAAAAGACATTTTCCAATAGACGTACACAAAAGACCCTTCATGATAGATACAAACAAGGACACGTGTACCAGGCCCGGAGGGTTACCGGGGCCCCGCCCTGGAGCTAGGCCTGGGGTTGGGGCCCGTGGGCGAGCGCCTGGTGGTCGGGCCTTCGCCCATGGGGTCCGGCCGGGCCCAGCCCGAACCGGCTACATGGGCTCGTCCCCCTGCAGGCCCACCACCCACAGAGGGATCCAGAAGGGTTCGGTGCAATGTGGATTGGGCAGCAGACCAAGGCGGGGGCCTTGGCGGTCCGATCCTCGGTTACAGAAGTTGGCTCTTGGGACATGGAATGTCACCTCTCTGGTGGGGAAGGAGCCGGAGCTTGTGGAAGAGGTTGAGCGCTACCGGCTAGATATAGTCGGCCTCACCTCGACACATAGTTCCGGCTCTGGAACCCTAGTCCTTGAGAGGGGTTGGACTCTCTCCTTCGCTGGAGTTGCTCCGGGTGAGAGGCGGAGGGCCGGGGTGGGCTTTCTGATAGCCCCCAGACTCTCTGCCTGTACGTTGGGGTTTACCCCGGTAGACGAAAGGGTTGCTTCCCTGCGTCTTCGGGTCGGGGAACGGGTCCTGACTGTTGTCTGTGCTTATGCACCAAACAACAGTTCAGAGTACCCACCCTTTTTGGAGTCCCTGGGACGGGTGCTGGACAGTGCCCCGACCGGGGACTCCATTGTTCTGCTGGGGGACTTCAACGCTCACGTGGGCAATGACAGCGGGACCTGGAGGGGCGTGATTGGGAGGAACGGCCTGCCCGATCTGAACCCGAGTGGTGTTCAGTTATTGGACTTCTGTGCGGGTCGCAGTTTGGCCATAACTAACACCATGTTCAAACATAAGGATGTCCATCGGTGCACGTGGCACCAGGACAGCCTAGGTCGCAGGTCAATGATCGACTTTGTAGTCGTATCATTTGACCTGCGGCCATATGTTCTGGACACTCGGGTGAAGAGAGGAGCAGAGCTGTCAACTGATCACCACCTGGTGGTGAGTTGGATCAGATGGTGGGGGAAGACGCCGCGCAGACCTGGCAGGCCCAAACGAACAGTGAGGGTCTGCTGGGAACGCCTGGCGGAAGAACCTGTCCAGATGATCTTCAACTCCCACCTCCGGGAGAGCTTCGACCGCGTCCCGAGGGCAGAGGGGGACATTGAGTCCGAATGGGCCTTGTTCCGCTCTGCCATTGTCGAGGCGGCAGTTGCGAGCTGTGGCCGCAAGGCCGCTGGGGCCAGTCGCGGCGGTAATCCCCGAACCCGCTGGTGGACACCAGAGGTGAGGGGAGCCGTCAGGCTGAAGAAGGAGGCCTACAGGGCATGGTTGGTCTGTGGGTCTCCGGAAGCAGCTGACGGGTACCGGCGGGCCAAGCGGAGCGCAGCGGCGGCAGTCGTTGAGGCAAAAACTCGGGCGTGGGAGGAGTTCGGTGAGGCCATGGAGGAAGATTATCGATCGGCTCCAAAGAGGTTCTGGCAAACCGTCCGGCGCCTCAGGGGGGGAAGGCGGCAACTTGCTCACACTGTTTACAGTGGGGGCGGGGAGCTGCTGACGTCAACTGGGGACATTGTCGGGCGGTGGAAGGAATACTTTGAGGAGCTCCTCAATCCCACCAACACGTATTCCAGTGAGGAAGCAGAGACGGGGGTCTCGGGGGCGGGTCGTCCAATTTCTGGGGCAGAAGTTGCTGAGGTAGTGAAACAACTCCGAGGCGGCGGAGCCCCGGGGGTGGATGAGATTCGTCCTGGATATCTCAAGGCTCTGGATGTTGTAGGGCTGTCCTGGCTGACACGCCTCTGCAACATTGCGTGGACATCGGGGGCAGTGCCTCTGGAGTGGCAGACCGGGGTGGTGGTCCCCATTTTCAAGAAAGGGGACCAGAGGGTGTGTTCCAACTACAGGGGGATCACACTCCTCAGCCTACCCGGTAAGGTCTACTCCAGGGTGCTGGAGAAGAGGGTCCGGTCGATAGTTGAACCTCAGATTGAGGAGGAGCAATGTGGTTTTCGTCCCGGACGTGGAACCGTGGACCAGCTCTTTACCCTCGCCAGGGTGCTGGAGGGGGCATGGGAGTTTGCCCAACCAGTCCACATGTGTTTTGTGGATTTGGAGAAGGCTTACGACCGTGTCCCCAGGGGCATCCTGTGGGGGGTGCTCCGGGAGTATGGGGTTGGTGGCCCCTTGCTAAGGGCCATCCAGTCCCTGTACCGAAGGAGCATGAGTCTGGTTCGCGTGGCTGGCAGTAAGTCGGACCTGTTCCCGGTGAGGGTTGGACTCCGCCAGGGCTGCCCTTTGTCACCGGTTCTGTTCATAACTTTTATGGACAGAATTTCTAGGCGCAGCCGAGTGGTGGAGGGTGTCAGGTTCGGTGACGGGAGGATCTCGTCCCTGCTTTTTGCGGATGACGTGGTCCTCCTAGCTCCATCGAACAGTGACCTCCAGCTCTCGCTGGGGCGGTTCGCAGCCGAGTGTGAAGCGGCTGGGATGAGAATCAGCACCTCCAAGTCTGAGGCCATGGTCCTCAGCCGGAAAAGGGTGGATTGCCCACTCCAGGTCAGGGGGGAGGTCCTTCCTCAGGTGGAGGAGTTTAAGTATCTCGGGATCTTGTTCACGAGTGAGGGTAGGATGGAGCGGGAGATTGACAGGCGGATTGGGGCGGCGTCAGCAGTGATGCAGGCGCTTAACCGGTCCGTTGTGGTGAAGAGGGAACTTAGCCAGAAAGCGAAGCTCTCAATTTACCGGTCAATCTACGTTCCAACCCTCACCTATGGTCACGAGCTCTGGGTAGTGACCGAAAGAATGAGATCGCGAGTACAAGCGGCCGAAATGAGTTTCCTCCGCAGGGTGGCTGGGCTCAGCCTTAGGGATAGGGTGAGGAGCTCAGACATCCGGGAGGGACTCGGAGTAGAGCCGCTGCTCCTCCACATCGAGAGGAGCCAGTTGAGGTGGTTCGGGCATCTGGTAAGGATGCCTTCCGGACGCCTCCCTTGGGAGGTGTTTCGGGCATGTCCAACCGGGAGGAGACCTCGGGGCCGCCCCAGAACACGCTGGAGGGACTACATCACCCGGCTGGCCTGGGAACGCCTCGGGGTTCCCGCGGAAGAGCTGACGGAAGTGGCAGGGGAGAGGACTGTCTGGGCTTCTTTGCTGAG